CCCTTGGGTATGACCATAAAAAATTTATGTCTCCAGGTTTGGCTCCTTGGCATTCTCAATCAATGACTGGGTGAATAAATGGCCTACAAATCTAATAATTAACATATCTGTCATCAGAACTGTTGCCAAAGTGAAATATGTTGTAGTCGTTAGAAATATCATTCAGTGATCAAGTAAACTTAAAGCAAAAAAGATAAAATACATTTAGAAAAGCTGATTTCCCAAATTAAGTGGAAGCTATTCTTACAAAGGCAATTGGGATATTATTGAAAAACCTAGGAATTTATAATGATCCGACTATATAAATCTGTTACAATTTTGAGCCTGCAATTTAAAAAGAAAAGTTATCAAGAACATATCTGGTTCCATCAATGAGAAATTTGCCTTTTAATGATTAAGCTAATAATTCCTGTGAATCAGACAGAAGTAAGAGTAATTATTAGTTTAACAATGCAATGCTAATTAACTTAAGCTTTCCAAATGGGTTATACACTGAAAACCAGGAGACTGACTAAAGTAATATTATTTCTAGAAAGAAATCTAAAGAAGAATAATGATGACTAATTTGTGAGGTCCATTTTGTTTCCAGTAAGAAATAAAGAGGCACAAACACTCACTTAAAGTCCAGTGACAATATAATTAGTACTAGGTCTGGCAAAGGTAAGTGCAGTTTTTGTTCACTTATGTACAGATAAGTAGTGAGAAAATACTGCCCAAAGTCTCCTTTTTTATGCAAAAACACATTATGTTTCTCTAATGCAATATATCTAATAGAAATATAACACAAGGCAAATGTGAATTGTTTATTTTGATAGAAGTCATATAGGAGGAGTGAAAAAGCAAAAATAATTTTAATAACATACTTAACATAATACATCTAAATATTATCACTTAAATATGAAGTCAATGGGCTGGAGTGATAGCACAGAGGGTAGGGCGTTTGCCTTGTATGCAGCCAACATGGCTGACCTGAGTTCGATTCCTCCGCCCCTCTCGGAGAATCCGGCAAGCTACTGAGAGTATCTTGCCCGCACAGCAGAGCCTGGCAAGCTACCCGTGATGTATTCGATATGCCAAGCACAGTAACAACAAAGTCTCACGATGGAGACGTTACTGGGCCCGCTACAGAAAAATTGATGAACAACGGGAGGACAGTAACAGTGACAGTAATGAAGTCAATGTTAATTTTATATTTATTTCAACATGAAATAAATATCTAAAAATTAGTGACATTCTTTTATTACTGTTCATAATTGAAACTTTAGGAAGTAATTTACACTATGGCATCTTTCAATGCAAATTTGTCACATTTCTTGTGTTCAATAGCCACATGTGGCTTTAGTCTACTATATAAGGTTATATAATTGTATAACATTAGATTTTATTCCCAAGTGTAAGATTATGTGTGTAATTTGAAAGTATCATGCTAAGCGAAATGAGTCAGGAAGAGAGGGATAGACATAAAAAGACTGCATTCATCTGGGGGACATAAAGTAACAAAATAGGAGATTAATATGCAAGAATAGCCGAGATCAATACCAGGAGGATTACTCCATGGCTTAGAGGCCAGCCGGGCATTCTAGGGGAAAGGACAGCTCAGATAGAGAAGGGAGCACCAAATAAAGGGTGTTTGGAGGATCCTCCCAGGAGGGGAGATGCACGTTGAAAGTAGACTATGGACTGAACACGATTGCCACTCAATGCCTCTCTTGCAGACCACAGCACCCAAAAGAAGAGAGAGAACAAAAGGGAATGCCCTGCCACAGAGGCAGGGTGGGATGGGGGGGATGGGTGTGGGAGGGATACTGGGATCCATGGTGGTGGAAAATGGGCACTGGTGGATGGATGGGTACTTGATCATTGTATAATCGAAACCCAAGCACAAAAATTTGTAAATCTACAACTGTACCTCATGGTTTCTCACTAAAAAAAAAAAAAAGATTACGTGTGTAAACTATTCATTGCAACTTCAAAGCAATGAAGGATTGGACTCTCTTTTGAATGATGATATAAAGACAATCTGTGCATAATTTTATATAATTCTTACTTAATTGTAAATTCTTCCAACTCTCAGGATCCAGGTTATCTATTGATAGGCTATGATTAGCTATACTATTTGTGATCATCATCTGTAATGCCTTAATACAGCAACCATATACGATCAAAGTTTCCTTTTTAAAAACGTTAACAATAATTCAGCATTCTTCTGAAAGGAAAAGGACCTATATACGTGAATATCACTGGGGTTTGATCTCAGACCTTTGTGAACAGACGACCTTCTTTTGGTTCCTGGAGAATGAAGTATCAAGATACTGAAAGGAGAGTCTAAGGTAGGCAGGGAAGTGGAGGAAGACCATCTGCATACGGGAAGAAAGCCACCTTTACCACAGTCAGCTCATTTCACTAAAAGAAGTGGCATATATATTAATCATTCAGCATCTCATACTCTGAACACACTAGATAAAATGGGTAATTGCTGCTTACTTCTGATTATGGCTACAGTGAAAACACCATAGTGTGCCACAGCATTATCTACGGGGTAGAAATGGGGTGGAGGGAGAAAGGGGCAAGGGTGTGGTTACTAATCTCTTTTTAGGGTAGCGTCTATCTGACCAAACTTCAATCTAAAATATGAAGACTGGCCCAAGTGGAAAGTTTTTAAATTGCATAGAAGACAGCAATGTTTGAAAAGACCTTGGACTTTTAGGTCCTTGCTAGTAAACTAAGCCATTCCCAAACGAAACAGAATATCTAATGACAGAGCAATCTCAGCCTAATCTTTAGAATATATTGGTTTGGCCAATAATAAAGCTTTTTTTGGGGGGGGGTCACACCCAGCGATTCTCAGGGGTTACTCCTGGCTCTGCACTCAGGAATTACTCCTGGTGGTGCTCAGGGGACAATATGGGATGCTGGGAATCGAACCCGGGTCGTCTGCATGCAAGGCAAAAGCCCGACCCGCTGTGCTACTGCTCCAGCTCCATAATAAAGCTTTTTAAATAAAACTTTTTGTTGTGAAAATAACTTTGGTGTATATTACTATTCAAAACTATGACTATTCTATCAGTTGCCTGACTGATTAGTGTTCTACCAATTCCCTTTATGCCTTTCATACATACGTCAACCCAATATTTGAAAGTTAAAATGACCACTTTGGTTTTTCATTTCTAAGTTTCTTACTCATCAATCGGATTGACAACAACAGAACTTTTATTTTGTTTTTATTCCCCAAAAATCTTCTCTTAATTCATGTGCAAACTTATGAGATTATGTCTGCAGTCAATCCCTACCCCCTTATTTAAAGTATGTAGTCCTTCCTTCATTTTTGAGAGACGTTATTATTATTTTATATAATCTGACATGATCCTTCCAGTTAAACACAGACATCTAGAAATAGATTCAAATTCCCTTCCAGACAGGAAGTAAATGCTAAATACCAGTAGTTATAAAGTCATGATCCAGGAAACTATGACAGGACAATAGAAATTATTTATTTTCTTTCCTTCTTTTTTTTTAAATAGCTCTTGAGACCATGTCAAGATCCTCTTGCTGATGAAGGTAGACTGATACTCTCCTTAATTCACTCCCTAATTCTTCATATAAGCCTCTTCCATGGACTGAAATAGGTGCTTTGTAGAATCTTTCCAAGTGGACAGGTTTGTGAGTGTTCTATGGTTTCCTACTCTACTTCTTGGGGAGGAAGATGTTTCTACATGCTACAGAAAACTCCTGAACTTTTGTGGATATTTTCTGAGTTGAGAGAGAGAGAGAGAGAGAGAGAGAGAGAGGGAGAGGGAGAGAGAGAGAATTCTATTATATGCATACTCTATTTGTATTCACTCCAATTAAAGGTAAGTGGTTTTCCTGTTTGGAAAAAAAAAAGCAAAGTACTACTACTGAAAGTAAGGGGGGATGGAAGATAAAAGAACTCACCATAGTTCATGATGATAAACATGAAAAAATACCAATTATTAACCATTATTCCCCTTTAGAGATTAGCAAACAGAATAGTTACTCCTGATTTAATTTTATTTACATTGAAGATGCACATGTGAAAAAATAGGAAGGATTCTGGTTTCTAACAAAACAAAATTTTGCCAAGGATCCCATCTTCCATTCATCAAACTTTAGAAAAGTTACTGGAGCCCTCTGAGTCAGGTGGCAAGTAGGAACACCACAACCGTGACCTAGTGGTGCTAGGGGTGGAGTGGGGGTGGGAGGATTAGCAATACATACAGCAGTGAAAATCCTGTTTGGTACAAGATAGTTCTGAAATACTATTCATTCCTGTATCTGCAGAGAGAAAAAAATGTGCCTTTCTCTGTGAAAGAAACTTTCTCCATCACCTCATCAGAACACATTTTTCAAGTTGCCACAAACCTCAGATGAAGAAATGACTGTATATGCGGGGCCTCACTCAACACGTGAACTTTTGGGGGAAGAAAAACGAGTAGTTATAAGAAAAGCTGCATTTTAACTGTATTAACAAAGCAAATGCCAATTTTTCCTTGTGTTCTTTGACTTTCTGTATCCAAAGTAAAACTGCACTGTTACATTTTTAGGAAACTCCTCGGGCTGTGGGATCAACCCCAAAGGCTCTTCCTAATCTTCCATCTTTGTCTCTTATTTAGCTAAGCCAAAAGATCAAGAATGGAAAGAAAGTTCTTAATTGTATCCTGTCTTTATAGTTGCGTGCAGAGACTGAAAATTGCTTTGTGCATATGGCTGGGGGTAGAGGAAGAGGTGAAGAGAAGATAGTATAAGTAACTTTCCTCCACTTCATGGTTTTGTCCCAGCACTGCACTCAAAATCATAAGCAACAGGGAGAGAAAGACAGGGCAGCACTTTGGTGTTAAGAAAAGGTAAAGAGGAGTGAAAAATCAGTCACTTTAAACGAAAAGGAACAAAGAGTTTTTCCAGGACTCCTCCGTAAGTGGGGAAGTTAGGGTGTGTTGGGAGAAGGGGGGGTCACAAGCTCACGGCCCGGGACCCAAACTCACCCAGCTGGAGCTGCTCGCAGATCTGGTCCGGATTCTTTCCAATCCTGCATCTGTAAATCGCTCCGGGATGGACCACGGAAGCATTGGCCAGCCAGCTGGCCCTGGGCGCGCCCACTAGGAGCCTGGAGCGAGAAGCGGGCACGTGTGCACAGAGGTGAGAAGCGCTGCCCCCCACCCGCCGCCCAGTCCCCCGACCTCACAGGCGCGCGGCGGACTGGTGGGGAGTGGGGGGGCAGCTCACAACCCGCTCTCCCCCGCGCAGCCCACCCGACACCCCTAACTCGCAGCTCTTGCAACCCGGAGACAAGAGTGCACGCGGGCCACTTCCAGCGCCAAGAGAAGTTCGGCAGTAGCACAGCCTGGTGGTCGCGCTTCCCCGTGGCTCTTCTCCCAAAGCCCTTCACGGCGCAACCGAGTTCCCGCCGGGCAGGGGACCCCTAAGGGCCCGCCCCACCCCCCCCGCACACCGAGGCCCCGGGCTGCCGAGCGCTCCGGGGTGTCCGCCCACTCACCAACGGTGCGCCCCGTGGCTGTGCAGCACCACCGAGTAGCCGAAGAGGGTGTCCGGGGGGCCCTGGTAGAGCAGCGGGTTCTCCGTGTCCACGTTGTAGGAGCGCGCGATCGGGACCCCCAGCCACAGCAGCAGCATCACCGCCTCCCGGACGGCGGCCCCTCGGGGTCCCGGCCCGCGCCTCGCTTCCCTGGCCATGCGTCCTCGGACGGGAACATTCAACACGCAGCGGCCGCGGTCCCAAAGCGACGGGGCGCGACGCCCAGGGGGAGCGCGCCCCCAGCCCCGAGGCGCGACAGGCCGGCGCGGCGGGCGGGAGGCGGGGAGTGGGGCGCGCTGGGGGCGCGGCCGCGGGCGGGGCGAGCTGGGCGGCGGCCGGCTGGATGCACGCGCCCGCCTGGCCCCACGCCCGCGCTCTGCGCCCCGAAGACGCCGGGGCTCCCGCGGTTGAGGGGCGCCGACCGCTGGGTGGGGTCCTCGGCGGGATGTGACGGCGCGGCCCCAGCCCTCCACCCACCCACCCCCCTGGGGCCCCGGGCACCCGGCTCCCCAGCCGCGCGGCTGTAGGGGGCGCTGGGAGACCTCGGCTGCACCGGACGCGTGTCCGGTCCGCGTGTCCAGAGCCGCACCGCGCGGCTGGACGCATCTGGGCACCCTTGGCTTTGTAAGAACAGACCTTGGAGCAGTGCTCCGCCTGGCCCGGGCCTGGGTGCGGGGCGAAGTGGCCCCCACGCGACCCGCACGCTCTCGGCCTGCAGGGAGATCAGCTTGCTGCGGTGGTCCACAGGCCTGCCTAGGGGTGGAGGACTTGATTTGTGGGGAAGATGGGGATGTGGGAGGAAGACGAGTAACCGCTGGAGGCATTCAAGAGAGGGTCCACAAGGTAAAGGACGAATAAGCCCTCCCCCCGCCCCCTCCCCCCAAGACCTGGGAACTTTACAGTGCCAAAGCATGGTGGCTCTTTGCTGTAGAATTAGAGCCTTCCACCCCCATGCTCATTTCCTTCCTCCCTGCAGTTCCTCTTGAGTGAAGACTGCAGGGGGGAAACAACAAACAACCCCTGGCCCCAACCCCCTGCGGCTGCACTGGGACAGTGGCTGAGTCCAACTTCCAAGAGGGTGAAGAAAACACTGCAACTCCCCTCACCTCAACCCATTCCTCTTGGGCTGGTTCTTGGGAGACCCCTTTTCACGCACCACCCTTCTCCCCCTTGCCACCGGATACACCTGCCATTGAGGCCGTGCACCTGGCCAGGAGCGTAGGCACCCGCCTAAGCCTCTGAAAACAGGACCACACTCAACACACTAGTGCCACTGGTGATTCTCATCTTTGTGGTCCACAGCGGGACTGGGGACACTTTTGGGAGCAGAGACAACCATAACTTTAAGCTGGCATGTATAGGAGATGCACATCTAATTATTAAATGTTGCTGTACAAATAAACAAGAAGGAAAAGGGTGTTATCACAAACGGGAAATGTGTGTGTGTGTGTGTGTGTGTCTGCACTTAAAACCACATAAAAATGGCTCAAGTAAAAATAGTGTTCCTTTATTGAATATAGTCATTGAGCAACACTGTGGGGCCCACAAGCTACCACTGTGACCAAGACAGAATGAGCTTCTAGGAATATTTTTAAGCCAAGTGGCAAACAGAAAAACTACCACTAACCAGAGAAGATTCTAGATCTAGGAGGAGCGCTAAAAGAGCAACCGAAGGACCTGCCAGGATTGTGTACGGTTAAGCTGTTTGAGAAGAGATCGAGGCTTAGCTACAGATTGGCCAGGAAGAAGTGCTGGGGACTGGGATGGAGGTAGGGTTGGAGGAGGGGATTTGGCTAGAGTGTCTTGCTCCTGCACACTTGTATTCCACCAGGAGAATGTCTAGGGAATTAGGAACAGAACATAATCCTCCTAAGCCAGGCTAGGACTTATTGGGGGTGCCTGGAGTCCCTCCTGGCCAAGCTCAGGGACTAGATACTGTGGTAAGAAAGGAGCTTGGATCAACCTTTGCAAGGCAATAGTGATCTTAACCCTTTACTATCTCTCTGTCCCAAGCTAGGACTTTCTTAACTGTATGAGGAGGCTGAGAGAAGCTACTAAAGAATTTTTGAAGTTTCAGGTGTGGGAAGAAAAGACTGGATTTTTAAAAGAAAACCATAATTTGAATGGGGCCTGCAGTAGTGAGTTGAAGTGAAGGTGCATTGAGCTAGTAAATAGGAGAGAGGAAAAAATAGATTTAAGAGATACCTGGGAGAGGGAGCGCAACAAAATTAAATGAGCATAAGTAGCTCGTGTGGAACTGCAGGAAGGAATTGAGATGACAGCAAGTCTGGAATTCTACTACATGGTACTAATTCATGGGCTAGAGCGATAGCACAGTGGTAGGGCATTTGCCTTGCACGCAGCCGGCCTGGCTGAAAGGAGTTTGATTCCTTTGCCCCTCTCAGAGAGTATCTCGCCCGCATGACAAAGCCTAACAAGCTACCTGTGATGTATTTGATATGCCAAACACCTTAAAGACAAAGTCTCACAAGGGAGACATTACTGGGCCCGCCTGAGCAAATCGATGAACAACGGGAGGACAGTGCTACGGTGCTAATTCATAGAGAAAAATCTCACAAGAGGAATGAAGTTATATATGTGTGTATATACATATGCGTGTGTAGACACTTGGATTACTGATGAATTGTTTCCGGTATGTGGGGTGTGAAGTATTTGTGGAATGCTAGGGTATTTTAGTCCAGTGCTTTCCAACTGTCTTTGGACTGTTCTTGGTCAGGAAATGATAAAAGTTTGAACATCACTGATTTGCTAGAGTAGTTATTAACTTCTGTTAGAGTAGTTATTAACTTCTGTTAGATGCTGACCTCTTGGAATGTAAAGATACCCATGTTCAAACCAAATCCTACTCAATTATCTTTTTCTCTTTGTCAATAGAGAACACAAGAGCTACGGCAACCTTCTTGTCATTTGTGGAAAAGGGGAAAACCAGCAAATTATGGTGTGTGATAATCTATTATGAAAATTAAATGAGTTCCAGAGAAATATTTTACAGGAACTTAAATGAACATTTTTGCTGTCCTTTTCCACTTAGAATGGTGTGTGTGTGTGTGTGTGTGTGTGTGTGTGTATGTGTAGATCTAGATTCAACCTATTTCTACAACTAGATCACATTGTCATGATTCTAAAATAAGCAAGCCATCCCTTTTGAAGCTACAATATTTCCTACTGATGTATGAATGAATACAGGAGGTTCTTGAATAATGTCCTTTTTATTACATTTCTTTTCTTTATAAATATTGAGAAATAAAACCCTGCTGATGTTATATGAAAGGATGTTATTCACATATTTGATATGTGATTTTCTTAAAGTTACAGCTTATTAAAGTCTTTCAGAGACGTTATGCTGTATGTCAAAGACTCCAACCTCTGGTATTTTCAGACACCCTGATCTCAACTTCTATTACGCGCTTCCCTCCTTTCATAAAATGTAATCCACTCAACACTCTTTCTGCCTCATAGTTAATGTTCATAGAATGCTTGATGGGATGGACCTTATTTCTACAGTTGTGGTATTATTATGGTTTTACGTCACCACCTTGTTAGAAACTGCCACACTTTACTATTGCATTGTGCTGTTAGCCCTGAGTTTCCTCCACCAACGCTTATAGCACAATTCTCTTTTTCTAAGTCAGCCAGAAATGGAGAATGCTTAATATTGCATGGAGTAAGTTTGAGGATACTGTTATCTTCTGATTATATGTTTTGTAGTGTAGTGTGAGAAAAATGAGGGGTAAGCATGAGTGGGGAAGGATGGAAGAATGTTAAATTCTCTATTTCTTACCTTCAACTGAATTTCAATACTCTTTCAATTAATATATTCCATCTTATCAACTGGAAACTCGGGCTCATTATATGCCCAGAACTGCACTGGTTACTGATATAAAAGTAATAGATAAATGCAACTGGTCTCCAACCATGGTAAGAAATCCTGCCCAGTGGAAAGTATTCTAATGTGACTCAATAAAATTGTCAGTTGTTATCAAAAGGAAACAATTATCCTTCTTATTGCTTCTCTTTTCCAAATCTCCCTTTTCAAAGCTCTCCCATTCCAACATAACCTATAAGAACCCCGTGATCTGGTCTCTGACTGTTCTGCTTTTTAATTTTTGGTCCACACCCTGTGGTGGTCAGTAGCTATTCCCAGCTCTGCTCTGGGCTATTGGTAGCTCCTGTGATATACATGAGATTATGTAGTGCCCTTATGAACTTGGGTCTCCTCCATGCAAAGTGTTTACCCATCCCATTGAGTTATCTTTTCAAACCATGGCTAGATGTTTCCAAAGATGCATGAACAAGGTTTTTCTTCAGTTAAAAGAGATGGACAATCCACTTAGAAACTATGAAACATACCTCAGAGTTCTCTCATAAGAGCAGGAGGCTGGCTAGCTCATTAACCTAGTCACTGTTGCAGGTCTACATATAAGAAGGCAAAAGTACTTCCTGGCACGGAGAAAAGTTCTCAGGCAGAGATTGAGCTGAAAAGCTGCAAGGTTCTGGGGATGTCTACCCAGAAATAGGCAGGCTCAGTGGCCTACAGGGCAGGGCAGCAGCAGTTGGTTGTGGCTGCCAAGAAATTTTAAGCATTAGTTAGTGTTGCTTAAACCTTGTTTTGAATCTCTGAGGTGTTGTTGTTTTTGCTGTTGTTGTTGGTTGGATGGGAAAAACATTTTACTAAATACTTAATACATCTGATTGAGTAAGAAAATCTGAAGAAAATAAAGTCTTCTCTAGGCCAGCGGGATAGTTTGGGTATTTAAGGCACTTGGTTTGGCACATTTCTCACCTCAGTTAGATTCTGGCGTTGCATATAGTCCCCAGCACCATCAGGAATAAGTACTGAGCACAGAGCCAGGATTAAGTCCTAATCATCTCTGAGTGTGGACCTAAACACTTCCCTAGTAATGTTCCATCCTTTATTCATCATCATCATTATTAGTGATATAATTTGTATAGATTAAACTACTTACAGAAATTAAGTCTATAAAAATCTCAGGTCAAGGGCAATGGACCATGTGGAAGATTGTTTTAAGCATTGTTTCTCTTTGCTGCTAATATTTATTTCTTTATTCACCATTCAATAATTTAACAAATATTTATTAGCCAACCATTAGCATTGAGATAAAGATAATAGGGCAATCATAAAAAATAGTAACCTTTCAGTATATTGACATGCA